ATTATTTTTATGTTTAGTATTTTATTTAATATTAATACAAACAGTGTATAGTGTATATATTGCCCCGCTGCGGCCGCCTATACCTCACACAACCCTCCTGGGGGCCCCCCTGAACGCGTAAAGGGGGGCCCCATAGCACAGACAAGATAACGGCATTGAGGCTGTTGAACCGAAACCCTAAACCCTAAACCCTAAACCCTAAACCCTAAGCTGCAAGGGAGCTGAGGAGGGGGGGGGGAGAGGGGGATGGCGCCCCCGAACTGCGTGCCGGTATTCTGCCACTTGGACTTGGTGAGCCTTCCCCTCCTTTGAGCCCTTCTATACCTCCAGCTCAGCTAGCTAGCTAGCTAGCTAGCTAGCTGTGTAGCTAGCTAGCTGTGTAGCTAGCTAGCTAGCTAGCTGTGTAGCTAGCTAGCTAAGAAACAATAGCCAGCTGGCTCAGCTGTTTGTGGGCCCGCAGGACTGCTTCTACTGCCAGGTAGAGCACCGCCGCCTCGGCATCCCGAGACACGTACCCCTCGCTGTGAGACAGGTGGGGCTTCAAACCCTAAACCCTAAACCCTAAACCCTAAACCCTAGAATAGAGAAGCTGGCTGCCTCGCGGCCTCTTCTCTGTGCCCCCTTAATACCGAGAGGAGTTGAGCCTCTCTCCCTTGGTTGCTGCTCCTTTTCCAAATACCTTGCTTCTCTTGCTGCTGCTGCTGCTGCTGCTGTTTCTGCTGCTGCTGTTTCTGCTGCTGCTGCTGTTTCTGCTGCTGCTGCTGTTCCTGCTGCTGCTGCTGCTGCTGCAGTGGGACAGCGTGATAGCTGTGAACTACCCAGCTCGAGCGATGGGGGTTAAGAGGGGGCAGCGGGTGGAGACGGTGCGGTCTCTCTGCCCCTCAATAGAGCTCGTCCATGTAGAGACTATCTCAGCCAGAGACAAAGGAGACAGAACACAGGTATACTTCGCTAGGGTTTAGGGCCTAGGGTTTAGGGTTTAGGGTTTAGGGTTCAGGGTTTAGGGTTTAGGGTTTAGGGTTTAGGGGTACAGGGACTAGAATATGCTGGCTCGGGTTTAGAACGCGGAAGATTTAGGGTTTATGCTTTGGAAGGCTTAAAGGGTTTAGGGTTTAGAGGGTTTAGGGTTTAGGGTTTAGGGTTTACTGCGTTCGAAGCTCCCACCGCCGTCTTCTTTTGGCGGGATTCTCCTGTTGGCAGAGGCGCAGCAGTTGCTAGTGAAAATTAGGGTTTAGGGGGTTGAGGGTTTAGGGTTTAGGGTTTAGGGTTTAGGGTTTAGGGTTTGTGCTGCTGGCGACATGCAGCCA